GAGACAGATTCACCATGTCACCCTTGGTAGAGTGTCATGGCATCATAGCTCACAGCAACCTCAAACTCTTGGGCTCAAGCAATTCTCTTGCCCCAGCCTCCTGAGTAGCTGGAACTATAGGCGCCCATCACAACACCCAGGTATTTTTTGTTGCAGTTCTTGTTGTTTAGCTGGCCTGGGCCGGGTTCAAACCTACCACCCTCGGGTTCCGTAACCACCATGCTACGGGTGCCAAGCTCCCACCCCCTTTTTTGTTTTCTGAGACACACATCTCACTCTACTGCATTGGCATCAACTTAGCTCACTGCAACCTCAAACTCCTGGGCGCTAGCCATCTTCCTGCCTCAGCCACCAAGTCACTGGGACTTAGCATCCACCACAATGCTTGGCTACTTTTTTAGTAGATGGGGTCTTGGTCTTGCTCTTGTTCAGGCTGGTCTAGAACTTCTGAGCCCACCACAACACCCGGCTAAATACTTTTAGAAGAGACAAGGTCTATCTTTCTCTCTCTCTCTCTCAGGCTGGGCTCAAACTCCTGAGTTCAAGCGACCCTCCTGCCTCAGCCCCCAGAGTTCTAGGATTACACACATGAGCTACCTGCCCAGCCATTGACTATTACAATTTAAAGATAGTTTTTTCCTTTTTAAAATATGCATGTAGGCTTTTGGTACCTTCTGTGTAAAACAACCCCCCCACTAATTTTTACAGACAGAATCTTACACTGTTGCCAGGCTAGAGTGCAACAGCCTCAGCCTAGCTCACAACAACCTCAAATGCGGCTCAAGTGATCCTCCTGCGTCAGCCTCCCAAGTAGCTGGAACTACAGGCACATGCCACAATGCTCAGCTAATACTTATTTACTTATTTATTTTGAGACAGAGTCTCACTTTGTCGCCCTCAGTAGAGTGCCATGGCATCACAGCCACAGCAACCTCAAACTCTTGGGCTCAAGAGATTCTCTTGCCTCACCCTTCCAAATAGGGGGGACTACAGGCACCTGCCACAATGCCCAGCTATTTTTAGAGATGAGGTCTCACTCTGGCTCAGGGTGGTCTTGAACTCATGAGCTCAGGCAATCCGCCCACCTCTGCCCCCCAGAGTGCTAGGAGGATTACAGGCATGAGCCACAGTGCCTAGCCTTATATTTTTCTTTTTCTCTTTTTTTTTGAGACAGAACCTCAAGCTGTCACCCTGGATAGAGTGCTGTGGTGTCACAGATCACAGCAACTTCAAAGTTTTGGGCTTAAGCAATTCTCTTGCTTCAGACTCCTACAAAGCTGGGACTATAGGCAAACCGCCACAGTACTGGCGATTTTTTGTTGCACTTGTCATTGTTGTTTATCTGACCCAGGCCAGACTCAAAACTGCCAGCCTTGGTGTATGTGGCTGGTGCCGTACCACTGTGCTATGGACACCCAGCCTAATTTTTCTATTTTTAGTAGAAACAAAGTTCTCTCATGAGCCACTATGCCTGGCCAAAAAAAAAAAACCATTACTCAACTTAAAATGTGAAGGAGAAAAGGGAGGCATTCTATCAAAACAAATGCTGGAAAATTTATGAAGTTGTAAACTGCATAGATTTGATGTGCCTTCAAGGTCAAATGATTGTGGCTATCAGGAGCTAAATGAATGCACATGTTACAGGGTTAGTCTGGGAAACAGTGGCTCAAATCTGAGCCTAAAAAGCAATTTATCAACTAGAAAGTAAAGAGAACTATTATTTGAAGAATTAACTACTCCCAAAATAGACCAAAGCTTCTTCAACAAACACATTGCAAGCAAAAATGAGGTGGAGAAGAACTAACAGAGTAAGAAACAAGAAAACATACCAATCAATCGCATCAAGTAAACCTTACTGGGGCCCTGACACAACTCCGGACAATGAAAGAGGAGTCATTACTACAGATCTTACAGACAGTAAGATGAAAAGAAGTGTATTATAAAAAATGGTATGCTAACAAATTCAACAACCTAAATCAGGGGTCCTCAAACTTTTTAAACAGGGGGCCAGTTCACTGTCCCTCAGACCGTTGGAGGGCTGGACTGCGGGCCCCGGGAGGAGTTGACTACTAAGCAGGACAGGCAGCAGCGGCAAAAACACCTGGCAGGGCTCAGCGCCTATGGCTCAAGTGGCTAAGGCACCAGCCACATACACCTAAAGTGGTGGGTTCAAATCCAGCCCTGGCCCGCCAAACAACAATGATGGCTACAACCAAAAAAAACAGCCAGGTGTTGTGGCGGGCGCCTGTGGTCCCAGCTACTTGGGAGGTGGAGGCAGGAGACTTGCTTGAGCCCAGGAGTTGGAGGTTGCTGTGAGCTGTGATGC